TTAAGAAGCGTTATACATGTCTGCTAGTCTGGAAGCAAACTAAACAAGTACTTTCAAAGTACTTTGGATGAATGTAGTTTCTATGGGCAGACAATGCTGTTCCCAGAAGATGCAAATTATTAAATATCAGTGCCAGAGACCAGTCACCTCCGTGTGACTTATTGGTCAGAGAGCCCCTCAAAGCACTCCCACAAGCAACACAGGTTCTTGAAATTGTTCTTGGTTGCCCACCAACTAGAGGGTGAGACCCATAGGCTCTGGTGGTTATGTGACCTGAGGCCATGGAGCCTTGATGGAGGATGTATATCCCTGTAGGTAGGCTAGGGGGCGCTAGAGCCTTGCCCCGCTTCCACTTTCTCTCTCTCTCTCTCTCTCTCTCTCTGCATCCTTGATGTGGATGGAGTTATGATCTCCCAGGTTCCTGCTCCTTCTGCCACGCCTCCCTACCATGGTGGACTTTTCTTTCTCTGAACTAGAAGCCAAAAGAAATTCTTCAGTAAGTCACTTCCGGTTATGATGTTTTATCACAGCAACAGAAACATAACTAATATGACTGTGGGAAATGATTGCTGTGGAATAATATTCACTCCAGCCCTGTTGTAGTATTGAAAGATGAGATCCTATTTAAATGCATTCCGGTAGAGGTGACCGGAAAATGGGAAGTCTGTCACAGTGGAATATTGTGTAACCATCACAAGCAACTCTGTAATGACCTTAAAGTCACATTGATAAATGATAAAAAGAAAACATCTCCTAACAGACTAAGAAGGAACATCTAATTTGAGTTGTCAATTGTAAGCAGAAACTTATTTTGCATTCATTGTGGGACTTTTCCAGGTTTTCTGGCTTGTACATATACTTAGTATAGGAAGAAAAAAGGATTAAAGTTCATGAGGATGACTTGTGAAGGTATGTCCAATTGTCAGTGATTTTTAGAAGTTGTGGTGCTGTTGATTCTGTGTTATTGAGTCAATAGGAAATGGAATCACCAACAGCTCAATCCAGTACAACAAGAGCTGCCCCCCATGTCTCTCAGGGATTTACTAAACAGCCATTAATGAGTGAATAGATAAAGAGATGCGACACACATATACAAAGGAATATTATTCTACCACAGGAAGTATTGTGAATTATTTTCTCTTTTATTGTTTATTTTATTTCATGTGCATTGGTGTTTTGTTTGCTTGTATGTCTGTGTGAGGGTGTCAGGTCCACTGGAACTGGAGTTACAAACAGTTGTGAGCTTCTATGCGGGTGCTGGGAATTGAATTGGGGTCCTCTGGAAGAGCAGTAAGTGCTCTTAATGGCTGAGCCATCTCTTTAGCCCTGTGAATTGTTTTCACATTCAATGATCTACTTTGTCAATCTCCTCTGACATATGTTATACCATATGTATTCATATAAACTGTCTCAAAATATTTTAAGGACAAAAGTACATATAATGTAACTATAGGAAATGTGTGAATGTATGAAGAAATCTGGAATGTTTCTGCTTTTGAGTCTGAATAACTGCACTGTATGTAAATAGAGCATTTCCTTATCCATTTTTCTGTAGACAGATACTTAAGTTGGCAATTGCAATGCAATGGGCATGTCAATGCAGACATCTTTGGAACCTAGATTTTGTCTCATTGGACAGGATGCAAAGTGAACTAAAATAGTCACAGTAAGACAAAGACTATGGTCCTCTGTGTAAACTCGGCAGTCATGGGATCAGAATAGAAGAGGTATCCAGGGAGGGGAGAAGGAAGCTGCTTTTGAACAGAGAAAGAATCCATCCATCATATACAACACACACTTCTAGAGTTCTTCAGTATAACACAACCTTGCCCACGGTTAATACTGTGCACTTAAAATATGTTAGCAACCTATAATCCATGTTAAGGAACTTATAATGACGAGAAATAAAGAGACACCATGAGTGAATAGGTTTCATAGCCTAATACATACACACTAACACACATACACTAATACACACAAACATACCACATTAACATACACACAATAACACACTCACACTAACACACACTAATATACACACACTAACACACACATTAATACACACGCACTAGCGCATACACACTAGCACAAACACATCACACTAACATACACACACTAATGAACACACACTAACATATACACACACTAACACACACAAACACACCACACTAACATATACATGCTAACACACACTAATACACACACACTAACACACTCACACTAAGACACACATACACTAATATATACACAAAGAAAAAAATGACCTGAATGCCTACAAAATATCTCATTTGCAATAAACACATACTGAAAGATCCTTTTAATTCATTAAACTAGAATGTTCATGTGATGCTAAAATTTATGGAATATCTGAATTATGTAGCTACAAATTTTCTCCAACAATAATGGTCACACTTGAGAGGATTAAAAAAAACACTTTGTCAAGCTCTCAGAATTGGCAGGGTCATGTCATGTGTTCAAATGATTAAAACACATGAAAGTGTGTTTAAAACTAAGAGACTATGTAAATATCTGATGTTTGTATAGTTATTATGTATTGTTTATCTATGAGAAACTGTCAAATAATTGTTCCCCTTGGAATATGAAAACCCTGATTTTTAAAAATTGTGATTTTTGTTCCTGGTCTAAAGAACATGTTAAGCTAAGTGGCTAACTCAACGCCTTGAGTTGGGACACTCTTGGCTGCAGACTGTCATATTTGCCTCCATTTTTAGTTTACTGCTCTTTTAAGACATGGCGAAACAATCATGTTCCCTACTAAAGAAATGGGGAAAAAATCTCACAAAAAGGACAACTAATAATCCATGACTTTGGGAAGTTAAATCTCCAAAGTGGTAATTAATTCATCTACAGAAAGAACTAATGGAAAATAAGTAATTTGTAATAGACACTGGACACTGAAGACTTTATCTCAAATTACTTCATGATTATCACTAAATAATTAAAATTAGTGACTACAAAATAAATAAATACCTCCTCCTATAGCATACAGCATGGAGCTGTAGGAGATTAATACAGTGAGACTGCATTCTGAGACTGAAGCAATCTATATTTCTGAGAAGACAGGTATAAAATGACATGCTATTAAATATGATTGAAAATGATAAGCATGATTTCAATTTTTCAAATTCTATTGAAAATAAGAAGAGACAGAACTTCACTATATCAAGTGCACTTTTAAATCCCTTATCTCATTCATTCTCTTAAAAGAATCTCATGAGAGGCATCATTACTTCAGCTCCAGAGATTCAAAAGCCCCAAGAAGGTTAATAAAAAGGCACATGTATTAAGATGATAGGCTGAAAAAAAGCTTTGGGATGTAGAGACATGAAAATGAAATGTTCAGAAAGATTTTGTGTGTTTTCCAGCAGCATAGAAGGAACTAGAAGCATAAAAAGTTCATGAGTGCCAGGACAAGACAGTAAAGTCATTTTGCACCAGGAACTGAAAAGAAGTCGTGTTTTGAAACTAAATCACAATCCCTTAGGACCTTTGAAGATCATGTTAGCACTAAGATCTGAAAAATACAAAGGAAGAGTTTGCTTCTGTTGTAACCGTATAAGAAAGGGCTTAGAAGGCATGATAAAAGGAAGTGGACATTCGAATTAAACCGCAGAGAACACCAGCAGTATTGCTCAGCCACTCAACAAATTTGAGATGGACTCTTTTGTGGCTTCCCGGCTAACATCTGAGAAATGAGCTTTTGCTTTTAACACAGTCAAGAAGCCCAACCATGTTTGTTAAAACATGGGAGCATGCTGCTGGCCCAAATAGCATGGGAACAAAAATGAGAGGACTCATAAAAACCAGTATTTATGCAGAAAGCCTCAATGAGAAGTCAGCATGCTTTCTAAACAATAACAACAATAGCATCAAAACTGCCAGAACTTCATGATGCACTTAAGGAAGACTTCGTCAGTAGCTTGTACCTGGTATACGTTTGAAATATTGTTGCCACAGGCACAGTATTTATCCAGAAAAAATAATGAGTAAATCTACATATAACATGAATCTGATACTTTGTGGACAGTAAAGTAACTTTAACCCTAGTGGGTCTCAATTGCAAAACCATCATCTCAGACTCAGGATTCTTCTGTAACTAACAAAAGCCCTTGGAGCAACATCGCTTGTCATGTGGGCATAAGACCTGAGTTCAAACTCTAGCACCCACACAAAAGAGCCAGCTGTGGCAGTACAGTTATAACCCCAGCTCTGTGAAAAGAGGTGGAGAGTTGCTGGCCAAGTAGCCTAATTAGTCAGCTTCAGGTCCAATGAGAGATCTTTATTATCTCAGACAATAAGGTGGAAGCAACTGAAAAAGACAACTTTGACCTCTGGCCTCCACATTTGTGTGTGTGTGTGTGTGTGTGTGTGTGTGTGTGTGTGTGTGTGTGCGTGTGCGCACATGCATGCGCATGTACATGCCTGTCTGCATACACACACACACACACACACACACACACACACACGGCAGGAGAGAGACTGACACAGGCCCACAAAAAAAAAAACTAATTTTTTAAAATTTAAAGACAGCATCACAAATACCTAAACTGTCAGTGGCCCAAGACTTGCTGATGGGAATGTTCTGAAAAGGAAATCAAGAAATAAGAAAATCACAATAACCGAATGAAAAAAAATTCTTCAGAGGACTCAAAGTCAGGTTTGGGCAGGAAGAAGAATCAAGGAATATGGAGATAACTGATATTGGCCAGTCTTTGGACCAGAACAAAACAACACAAAGCAAAAGTGAATAAAGTCTCCTAGAACTGGGGAGCGGGCACTGTCGGGCATACCAATAAATTTTTGACTGTAACCTCCAGAGAAACACAAGATGTATAGGGAAAAAAAAAGTTTCCCAAATACTACCTTGACGCCTGGAAACCATATACAAAAATATTTATCTACACATCCAAATATGTAAGAAGTGAACTGTTGGAAAACAAAGAAGACGACTCTGGAAAAGAGACTTGGGGAGGACTCACCGTTCACAAGAGACCCTGGAAGGAATCAACATCTCTTTCTTATCAGCAGGTGGTGGTAGGACACATTGTGATCCTGGAGAACAAGAAGACTGGTTACCAGGAATTCTATACCTAGTGAAATCAGCCTTCAGAAATGAAGAAAAATGCACGCTTCTAAATTTTAAGAGAGTTGCTAGGGGCTGAGAGATGGCTCAGGCTGAGCAATTGGGTTCTTCCAGAGGACCTGCTTGGATTCCCAGTATCCATATTGTATCTCACAACCATCTGAAACTTGAGTCCCAGGGTATCTGACACCTTCTTTTGGCCTTTGTGAACACCAGGCATCCATTAATGCACGGTCATACATACAGGCAAACACCTACAATAAATGAACTTTAAAGCTTTTTAATTGTTGCAAAATATATATTTTTCTAGGGAGATAAAATTCTCTAACTGGGACTGGCAACATGTAACAGCATTTCCCATACCTAATCATCTAAGTTTGATTACTGGGATTTACAAGATACAAGGAGAGAGCCAACTCCTGCAAATTGTCCTCTGACCTCCACATACATGGCATGCGCATACAAGTAAGTGTGTGCACACATGCATACAATACACACACCAGCAAATGTAATTTTTAAAAATTATTTTAATTATGCCATTGCATGCTCAAAACATGATTATGCAGAATAAAATCTACCTCTCCCACATGCCCTGTTTACAAGTCCCATTTCTAATTATTAACATTTATATAAAATAATGTTGCCTCTGAAAACAAATTGCTAATGGATTAGCCATGGACAGTAACACCTCACAGTTGGTCACTAATGAATCAGAAACACAAATACTGTGGATGCAATCTGATCCCACATGTCAAGGATAGCACACACTGGAAGTTCACATACTCGCTGTTCCTCTATGGTGGTGCCAGGATCTGTGAAAGCACAGAGTATGTGCAGACATTTAGAAGCCTTTCAAAGAATGCAAACACCATGTAGGCAGATTCGTGGAATCAGACCTGATGAAAGTTTTCCAACGACAACCCTACTATGCACCTTTCCAGTGAGCATCTAGTCAATAAAGGCGAGAGAAGGAGACTCCAGGCACAGTTGTCTATGTGGATAATACCTAAAAACCAGTTCCTAGCCAGACATAGACGGCATTCTCTGAGAGAGACTAAGGAATCACATGGAGAGAATCACAGCCCCCACGAGTCTCCAAATGCCAAAGGAAAGCCCTCATCTCAACACTGAGTGTGTACCATCAGAAGTGATTAAAGGTGCATAACCCTCCAGAAGAGTTAAATACATGAGAGTAAAGGAAAGTACAAATATAGTTTCTGGTCTAACACAAAACAGTTTAAAAACAGAGCTATGCAAAATAATCCTCACTTGGTGAGGTTTGTGAGTGCTTAATGAATTAAGATGTGAAATGCATGACAATAACACAAATGGGAAGAAAAGACACAGCTGTCTACAGAATAGTTTCCCTATCATATTTAGATGGAGCTGGAATTAATTTCATAGAGATTGCTATAAACTAATTGGATAATTTCAAACCCAGGAGAGACTATTTGAGAGTCTTACTCAAGAAAGAATATAAGGACAAGAAAATTGAGAGAGTGCATTAAATATTTATGTAACACAAAGGAACACAACAGTGGAGAAAACCTATAGATTAAAACACAGGCCACAAAGCCAAAAAAAAAAAAAGCAGATGTCAATCTTGCTGTATCATTAATCACATAACTATAAATGGATTAAACAAAAGACTTATTTTAAAACTGACACATAAATATGTAACACAACTAGATGCTTTGCATAAGGGGCACATATTTAGATTAAAAAACAGAAGTTGTTTTGGAAGTAAAAAGTTCAAAATTACACACATAGGGGCTAGGAAGATATCTTGTCAGTAAAGTGCCTGCCATGCAAGAGTGAGTTCAGTTCCCCATACCCACATAAAGAGGCAGGCATAGTGGATGGCTTGAGTGCCAGGGAGGTAGAGACAACAGTATCTCCAGCAGTCACTGGCCAGACAGTTGAGCCAATCAGTGAGCACTGGGTTTGAGGAGTGGCTCCATCTCAAAAACAAATGGAGAGTTACAGGGGAAAACAAATGACACTGAACACTGCCATGCACACACATGTGTATGTATATGTATATATGTTAAGTACAAACATGACATACACATATGCAAAATTACATAAAATCAGCAATCATAAGTCAACTGTCATGGCCACACTAACAACTGATAGCATTAATAATAAATAAAGGATGTGAGTGTCACTTTATTAAGATAGATCAGTCAATTCAGCAAAAAGAAAAATCAAATTTCAAAGAGATCACTAAGACATTTCAGTGGGAGATATTACTATTTCTTCAAATGGCAACCAAATGAGGGGATGTCCACCCAGATAAGTGATGAAGTTTGGCTCTTTGCCATTTGTCATTGATGAGAATTTACTTGAAACAGAATAAAAACCTAAATATAAGAACGAAAGTTAAATATGATAAAATGAAAGCACATGTCTGATAACCTTGAATTAGATAATGGCTTCTTAAACAAAACACTAAAAACACAAATAATGAAAGAAAAACATAGAAAACTGAACATCAAATTTATTCTTAAGAACCTATAACCAAGAAGGTAAAAATAGAATAAGAAAATTTGGATAAAATGTTAGGAAATCCTATCTCCAAAAAGGATGTCTAAGTGTGATTTACCAAGAAATTGTCAGTTGTGTGTATATGTGTATAGATGCATACATACATACATATCACATCATTATACATATACATGATTGTTTTATTGCTGTACATATACAATGTATAGGTGTTTATTTAAACATACATTCAAATTTTTACAGCTCAATCATAAAATAATAAAATGATTCTAAATAGATGATTCTTCCTATAAGAAATATCAATGAGAGAAGCATAAAAATATGTCCAACATAAACTGTCATTCAAAAATGCAAATAGGGGGTGCAGTGACTTTTCATCTCATGTGACTCCAATGAGTTTTTGAAAGAGGAGGTGCACTTAACAAAATGATGAAAAATAGAGGAGATAGAAGTCTCCCACACCACTACCTGGAGAATGGAGGCTTATAGCTCTTTTGGTAGTCAATTTGACAATTACTCTTAGAAAATCGCCACATTATCTAGCAATTCCACACATAGATACAGAAAGTAAAGAACCAAATTATATGTCCACAAATAACCTCAAGCACAGATGTCCAAAGGAAAAATTTTTCACAGTAGCAAAATATAGAGAAATAACTCTTCAAGTGGCAAACAGATAAATTAGCTATCTGTACAATGAAACACTATTCACCTGTAAACAATAAATATTATAACAAGGTGAAGCTTTAAAACACTGTGACTGCATGTGGATGGAAAGGCTTTATATTACATGAGTTCAATTATGTGAATGCCTAAGATAGAAAATGAACACATGTAACTAATAGCCACAGAGTCTTGCAGAGCATAGACTTGCAGAGCATAGACTTGCAGAGCATAGACTTGCAGAACATAGACTTGCAGAGCATAGACTTGCAGAACATAGACTTGCAGAGCATAGACTGGGGCTATGTGAGGCCAGCATGTACAATGATTACTAGTGAGTATCAGGTTTGTTCTCAAGACAAAGCCTATATATTTAAATTAGAGAGTGGTGATGGCAGAAAGCACTGTATCATCATCATAGATCATCAGATTGTATTCACACAGCGGTACAATTAATATTTGTGAATCAAATTACATTTTAAAAAGACTTTAAAACGTAGCAATATATTCTGGAAGTGGCTTGATTTTATAAAGTGTGAACTGTTTTGAAATTAAAACCAGAGTTTCATCTGGCTTTCACATGCTGACTGTGGCTTCACCAGAAGTTACAAAGCATAGGTATAAAAAGAATGCAGCATGCTGGGTAACAGACTAACTAGTGGCTGCAAATAAAGAAAGGTCTAAACTTAAAACTTAATGTTCACTGGGGGTGGGGGAGTCAAGAAACCTGCAAAACTGGACATGATTACATAAAGGTATGTAGAGGTGTTGAAATCATGGGAATAAACGCTAATGTTTACGCATGTTACTCCCTGTGAATTGTAGTTCAAAACAATGGACACATTTTACAAGACTTACCACATATTCATGAATACGTACACACACACTACCCCCAGAGTTACAAATAACAGCCATTCTTCTTAATTAAGGCAGACCTTTCCAGGGACTCTGAGTCCAGAGTAGAGGCTTCCTTACAGGTCTCTGTGCAGTACAGGGGCCACAGCAAAAACTACCAAGGAAAGCAGTGTCTGTGTTGATCCCATTTAGGATACAATTCATCAGAGGAGTCATATTCTCGTATTCTCCCTACTGTGGTAAAGTGAGAGAGAAGTAATAATCTCTTTTCCTCAACAACTTGGCTCTGCCTTCAGGCCCAGACTTTACCCATTGAAACACACAGAGACATCCCTCCTCTACATGTGATAGCAGCCCCTCTGAATTTGACCTGTACCCTTTGAAGACACCAAAGACTTCCTCTGCCAGTCAGTCAACACTGTTAGTCCCAACCTGAGTCAATCACTGAATTTTATTTACTTCTGTATAAGCTCACCGTGTTCAGCTCAACTCTGATGTTGCTTGTGTGTGCATCTGAGGCTCTAACTCTGTTGATGTTTCTCCCTTGTGGTGTCACATCTTCAAGGGTCTGGAAACCATGGTACCTACTGAACTGATGCCGCTTCAGACAGACATCTGGGACATTGCTGGCTGGAGTACAGAACTGGTCTGCAGAGTCCAAGCAGGTTACCTGGTCCAACTCAAGACTTAGAAACACCCCTTGTGGCTATATAGATAAAAGCAAGGGTACTTACAATGTCTCTGTCCAGACACAGAAGCATACACTCTGTGAAATGTCACATATCACAACAACTATCATTGTGAGAAGTCTGGGTAATGAGTGGAAGGGAACATAAAGGAACCTTCCAGGAAGACAGGAAGGTTCCACCTCACAATCTGAGCAATGTATGATGAGCCTATGTGACGGCCATGGTCATGTCTGATCCTGCATGTATGTGTATGTGTG